GATGTTTAAAATGTAGGAATGATTGATTTTCAGAGAAACGGTAATTTTAATGCGCCAGTTACGACACTTTAGCCTTGTTTTGTTTATTTATACACACATATAATTTAAGATTTAACTCTTTCGGTAGCATGATGCTAATATTTAACTTATCATTTCCAAAAAATATGTTACTTAGACTAATGTTCGGGTCAGATTTGCCTAAACTAATTAAATTATCAAAAGTATTAAGTAAAGTAAATATCTGAATATATTCTTCCGTTTACTTCTCTTAATCCATGCTTGTTTATTACAGCTGCTATTGTACGTTGAAATATCCTTTTCAAATATGGAAACTATGGCGTCTCAAATTCTTCATAACGGCATTATTAAATATTTGGTTTACTAAAATCTCTTTACAATCGTCTTCCCCCTGTGGGATGCAATTTGTAGTTATTTTGAAGCCCCATCCTGGCTTTTGCTGTGGGCCCTAAATACAACCGGGCCCTAAATAAGGCCTAACGGCTAAAGGGATTTCTGGGACGTCTACACGGGTGATCTTCATCCGCATGGTGGCACTTTGTGTCACCGGGTGTTTATCGCTTGTGTGACGTCCTGGTGTGGTACAGCTTACCTACCTACCTGCTAAAATCCCTTACTTGACCATAAGTTTAAACACTCTTTTCTAGAGCATACTTATATATATATATATATGATCTACTAAAATCTATAACGAAATACACGTTAATGTGATTATGGACACTGTTTTGTCATAAAGAAACCCTCTATTTTTGATCTGACGGTGGATAAAGCACAATAGAGATCGCACTCTCCACACCAAGCTGGCAACACTATTTTGTTTCGACGACTGTTGAAAATAAAAATCAGGTATTTTACAAGTACAATAACAATCAACTTCCAAAATTCCTGACCGCCCCCTTCAGAGTTCCCAGTGCCATCTAGGAGAGCGTGGCTTGTCCTCCTTCAGAGCCACAGCGACTAAATAGTTGGCGCACTTATATACCCAAACAGTCGTCCCGTGTCAGTAGTCATCAGCGACACGATAATTTATCCCATAAGAGCACGGCTGTAAATCCCAGTGCCCGTCAAGACAGTGGGTTACAACCTGGTAACAGTGAGACAACACAAGAAAAAGTGCCAGTCAGAACACATAGCAACAGCCTGGTAACATTAAGACGAAAAAAGAAGAAGTGTCAGTCAGGACACTGGGATACAACCTGGTAACAGTGAGACGACAAAAGAAGTGCCATTCAGGACACTAGGCTACAACCTGGTAACAGTGAGACGACAAAAGTAGTGCCAGTCAGGACATTGGGCTACAATCTGGTAACATTGAGACGACAACAGAAGTGCCAGTCAGAACACTGGGATACAGCCTGGTAACAGTGAGACAACAAGAGAAGAAGTGCCAGTCAAAACACAGTGCTACGACCTGGTAACAGTTGGCCGACAAAAGAAGAAGTGCCAGTCAGGACACTGGGCTACAACCTGGTAACATTGAGACGACAACAGAAGAAGTGCCAGTCAGGACACTGGGCTACAACCTGGTAACATTGAGACGACGAAAACAGAAGTGCCACTCAAGACACAGGGCTTCAACCTGGTAATAGTGGGACGACAAAAGAAAAAGTGCCAGTCAAGACACTGGGCTACAACCTGGTAACATTGAGACGACAACAGAATAAGTGCCACTCAGGACACTGGGCTACAACCTGGTAACAGTGAGACGACAAAAGAAGAAGTGCCAGTCAGGCGTTACTTCAAATAGTTCTATTCCAACAAGTTGTCTGAGAAGTACAAGTAATGCATAATTCCACGAAGTCTGCTTGTAAAATGTAAGCTAGCGGGGTTAAACAGCTAATGTGAAGTGCTAGGTGAGAATCAACAGCTGCAAATTCCAGAAACTGCGTTCAGCTGTATAACCATATGGCCTAGTTGTACTGGGCTACCACAGAATGGTTACGAATTAGGGAGTATTCCAATGTGGGATTTAGATCATCATCATCAGTTCTTGTTATGCCTAGTGGCACATGAGACTTGAGAGAGGACTTTCCATGTTTTCCTGTCCTGTGCAATCTTCAGTGCAGTTTTCCATGTTATAGATGCCTCACTCAGGTCACTTTTCATCGTTCGTCTCCATGTTGTTTTTCGGCGCCCCTGTTTTCTCTTTCCCTCTGGTGTCCATGTGAGAGCTGTTTTGGCTGGTATATCAGGATTCATTCTCATAACATGGCCAAGCCATTTCCATCTTCTCTTGGTTATCATACTGTCTAAAGTTTCTTGGTTTGTGACTTGAAGTAGTTTAGTGTTTGAGATTGTATCTGGCCAGAAAATTTTGATAATTCTACGTAGACATGTGTGGTGGAAGGTGGACAGCTTGTGTGCATAATTTTTGGTCATTCTCCAGTATTCCGCTCCATAAAGAAGAACTGGCAAAATAATGCTCTTGTAGAGTCGGAGTTTGTTTCCTCTGCAGTAACTGTTGAATTTCCAGATTTGCCTTATCCTTCCAAAAGCAGCTCTAGCTTTGTTAAGACGTGAATGTATGTCCTCTTCGGTCCCTCCAGGCAGGAACACCACACTGCCAAGATATGTAAAATGTCTACTGCTTTTTTCAAGAGTTTGGTCCCTCCAGGCAGGAACTGCCTGGTGTAGACTTCCAAGATATGTAAAATGTTCTACTAATTGTTTGCTCCTGGTTTTTCAAGAGCGTTTGTTTTGTTGGTGTCACCAGCACCAAGAAGGTGTGCTTATCGTATGACTGATGTTTTTTATCATGAGTGTTCTTCTTTTGCTGGTGTAGGACAATATTTTTGACCCACTCACTACTTTTTGTTTTGTGGTGTGGGTGCTTGTTGTGGCTCTCGGTCCCTCATGCCTAACGCCACACTGCAATTTACTGTGTAGACTATTTGTACTTTTGGCACTAACTCTATCTGATTCGCTTCTGGACCGCCTTAATTTGGCTGTTAGTGACGGTTTTCAGCCGGGTTATGCCACCTTGGACTAATGCTTTGCAGCCTCTAGTGTGTCGTTTGCTCCTAAGGTTTACCGATAGTGTTTCGGTGACGCTTTGCTTTGTGACTGGTTGTCACCAGTTTCAGCAAGGCTTGTGCTTGCTACAATGAATGTATGTCCTCTTCGGTCCCTCCAGGCAGGAACACCACACTGCCAAGATATGTAAAATGTTCTACATTTTCAAGAGTTTGGTGTCACATGGTGGCTTATCGTGACTGATGGTTTTTATCACGAGTGTGCTGCATTTCTGGTGTAGACTATTTGTATTGGCACCTCTATCGATTGCCTCGCGCATTTACTGTTAGTGACGGTTTCTGGGTTATGCCTGGACTAATTGTTTGCTCCTGGTTTTCAGATAGGCCAGTGACGGGCTTTGTGTGTGGTTGTCACCAGCACCAGAAGGGAGTAATTATGGGGTAATATGTTCGCACTGAAGTTGAAATCTCTGCTACAGCTCTGCTACAACTAGTACTACAACTGATACAACAACTACTACAATACTATTACAAATATTACCACTACTTCACTACTTTTACTTCAGGACCGCCATAATGGGCAAAATAGTTCATACCACTCATGGGCCATTTTAACTTTGTTTTAATGGAATTGTTACTTAGCACACTAACCGCTCGGATTTTTTTCTTAAAAATTGACCTTGGCTTCCCCATTGACCCAGCCTTAAGGTGTACCAGGTCATGTCTTGCAGCCTTAAGGTGTACCGGGTAATGTCTTGCAGCCTTAAGGTGTACCAGGTAATGTCTTGCAGCCTTAAGGTGTACCAGGTAATGTCTTGCAGCCTTAAGGTGTACCAGGTAATGTCTTGCAAACTGAAGGCGACCGGCGTTATAATGACCACGTCGCCCATCAAATGTAGTCTGATCTATAACAATATGAGTCTAACCTTGTGTGCCCGATGTGCCATTATGGTGTAAAGGGACCATTATTTTCCACAAACAACTAACATGTCTACATCACTGGTGGTTCAAATCCTTAGACATCACCAACTGATTACAGGTCCCGTTGACACGTTTTCTCCCTCCTCCACTCCAAAGCCGTCCCGACCAGCGATTCTGCCACGCCCGAGAACACACACATACAATCAATGTTTGTACCAGTTTCCAGAAATACCACATTAGAGCCGGGATTATTTTTACAACTGACTGCCGATCCCATTTAGTTTTTTCCGCTGAACCAGCGAAGAATCTGTAGAGAATAGAGCAGCGGATGCCCGCGAGATGGCCGCTCGTCAATGCCTGATCGCCTTTGTTTGATTAGCTCACCAAGTCAAGGAAGCACGTGAATAGAAAATGAAATTTTAAAGATCATTGCTTGACTTGACATTTATCGAGGAACAGATTGTCTGAGGACAGTGTTTGCAAACTGGTTAGTAAAACCACATGGCTTTGCTTTTATAAGGTTTAGAAAAAACGTACTTATACCAGAATGGCTGTGGTGTAGAGGTATTTCAGTGAAGATTGTGTGTCTGTGTGTATGTAGCTCATTGTTCTTCTTATCATTATTAATCACTTTTTTTACGACTTACTTGTTAGGGATATAGTCGGCATCAATGGCTTGGGCGTTGTGAAAGCGATTCGTAATGCGGGATGACGGGTTCTATACAAGGGTACCAGGCTATTTGGCAGCAGATTGTCTTCCCTTGATTTCGACGATGGTATCCAGAATGACAGTTCAGTAAGCAATAGCAAACTATTGAACGTAAAAATTAGCCTAGATAAATCGCAACAGCCATACAAAATCTGGTGTTGGTTGTGCACAATCCTGGAAAGGACATGCAGCTAACTTGTTCGAGGGTGCGTCTTCCCCCCCCCCCCCCCCCCCTTTTTTTTTCTCCTCCAATTTTTCCCAAAATGTGGCACTGAAAACCCACCATATGTAGGGTGTTGTGTGGGAATGGGTAGAGGTCATTCCATATATTGCATGTCTTTTTTTTGGGTGCAGTAACTGACATTTCCTGTATATTTCAGGTGGTCTGGACAGACCAGTGGTCCACCTTGTTGACGTACGAAGACAGAAGGATCATCGATGACGAGCGGCTGAGTGTGGAGAGACCGTTCACCAAAGACTGGAACCTTCACATCAGGGAAGTCAAGTACAAAGACCAGGGCCTCTACAATTGTCAGATTAACACTAATCCTGTCAAGATTAAAACAGTCAATCTCAAAGTTCAAGGTAAACATCCATAATATTTGATCTTGATCGTATCAATAGTAAACTAGTCAAGTAAGTATAGGACCCTTTCAGTCCACATTTTTATCGTCCATTCAGTACACAATGGCCAACATTGCGCCGGTCACTTTCACTTCCCAAGATTTTACATAGTATCCATTTTAGGCGGTTTCGACCTGGGAGCCAATTTAATTGAGAAATGCCAGGCTTCGAACCCACTATCGGGCGTCCAGCAGCTTTCCAGTTGCCAGTTTTAATATTAATATCATTATTCAGTGCCGACTCTGGGTTTACAGTTTGTGTCAATAAATCTTCTGTAGGCTTTGTCCTGTGCTTTATTTATGTCTTCTGACCCTAGTTTGATGGATGTGTTTAGTTACATTTTTGGAGCTCTGACATTACTCCTGTTTGCCAGTAGTATGTACGGACAAAATCTATCAACTTTTTCTTTGTTTTACCTTATGTATGCTTTATTAAACCACCACCACATGGAAAATAGGGAAAAAAACAAGTTCAACTGCCCAACCAAGAGGTGGGACACTGACTGATTTAGCCTTTTTTTTTTTAGAGGTGCGGTGGAAGTTGTATAGGAAGCGTTGTGTTTTTAGGTGAATGTTGTTATCAGTAGCTAGCTTGTGATGTATGGGTGGTCTGATTAACCGGTGGTCAAATATGTAAATACGTCGTAATATTGTTGCTAGCATATGTTGCATGGCGTCCCTTTTATTGTCAAGATGCGCCTCTTTGTTATCAGCACAGACGCGTGTGAGCAGTTTATCATCATGCCCCTCTCTTTAATCTGTTATTATAATAACAATAATGTAATATGGCCATCGTGGGCTGTGGGTTCGCTTCTCTGCAACCTGTGCCGTTAAACACGTTTTTATTTAATTTTTTTTTTTTCGTGAAAAATATCGACAGTTTACATCTAACAGTTACTGAGTTGCAGATGTTAAAAGTTGGACACGACTGCTGAAATGCACTATAGAATTGGTTTTTTACATATACGGTTCAGACATTATCGCCAGACTTTGGTGGGGACTGCAGATTATACCCGAGTTCCCCTTGTGCTTCATGGCTTATTCTGGTCTGTAAGGTAGTGCGATAAGTTGATATTTAGACTCATTAGGTACCAAGCAACTCACTCTGCTTTTCTCTGTTTCTTCTTCTTATAGCCATTGTGGTGTGGCGTTTGTAGTCATAACCCTGTGTCTATTTTACTTTCAGTAAGTTCTGACACGGTTGATCTTCCATGCCATCATGTCAAAAAGGCCAGCATTTCTCTTTCGTTTTCTCTCTGCCTCTCCACCCCCCCCCCTCTCACCTTTAACGCATAGTCAAAAAACATTCCAAATTAAATTCGCATCGCAAAATGTCGCGCCATGCACTCAGTTCAGTAGCTGGGCCCCGGAACTATATCTCTTCAGTTTACATATGGAAGAAAATGCAACGGTCTACAACTGTGAGAAGCAAACACTTATCCCGACTGAAACTATAAGGCTGCATGTCCGCCATATTGACCGGAAGTACCAGGAACCTATTAGACATTTCAATCATTTATAATGTAAATTTTTTTTTCATCTTCATTTTTGAAAGTGATAGTCAGTGTTTGAGTAAAGTAATTTAACACTCCTTCTGTGCAAGTGGCACATCTGGCATTTAATACTGCACCAATATTTTTATACGCTCGCCGCGGATCGGAAGGTCGTGGGTTCGCTCCCTGGCGGAGCCGGACTATTTTCAAAAATGACCTTGGCTCCCAGGTCGACGCAGCCTTGAGTGGGTACCGGGTGCAGTCCCGGAAAGTAAAGGTGGCCTGCGTGATGCTGACCACATCACCCATCTTGTGCCGATTGGTCTATAAAAATATAGATACAACCCTATATGCCCTATACGCCTAAAGGCGTGGAAAAGGGTCCTTTACTTTTTAATATTTTTATAAACCAATCGGCACAGTTTGGGTGATGTGGTAAACAGCTCTCCGGTGGCCTTTACATCCCATGACTTCAACTGGAACCCATTTAGTCTAGGTAGACCTGTGAGCAAAGGTCATCAATGCTCTAAAATGTTGTTTATTTAATGAATGATCACTCAGCTAGTCAGCTCACTATCATATCATTCAGCATTCATTTTAATTTTGTCCCCAGTTCCCTCTAAAATCTACAACAACGCCTCAACCGATGCCCAGGTTGTCAGGGAGGGCACCACTGTGACACTGGTGTGCAATGTCAGCGGCATTCCGATGCCAACTGTCACATGGTACCGCCTGTTGGCCAATGAGAAGGGAGAAGATAAAAAGAGTGAGTTCTGCCCAGGCACAACTAGTAAGGCATTTTCTGCACCGGGTAACCCCGTTACATTTCATGTTGTAACTTTCCTTTCCCTCAGTCTGCAAATTGTTGTCAGAAAAAGTCACAAAACAAGTTTTACTAAAACTACTTAAACACTTATCATTGCTGCTTCTTCTCTTTTTACTACTACTACTACTACTACTACTACTACTACTACTACTACTACTACTGAAACTACTACTACTACTACTACTACTACTACTACTACTACTACTACTACTACTACTACTACTACTACTACTACTACTACTACTACTACTACTACTACTACTACTGAAACTACTACTACTACTACTACTACTACTACTACTACTACTACTACTACTACTATTACTACTACTACTACTACTACTACTACTACTACTACTACTACTACTACTACTACTACTACTACTACTACTACTACTACTACTACTACTACTACTACTACTACTACTACTACTACTACTACTACTACTACTACTACAAAACAACTATTACTACTACTGCTGCTGCCGCTGCTGCTGCTACTACAATTGCTTCTGATGCTACTACTACTTTTACTAATGCTACTTTTGTTGCGTTGCGGTTGTTCTCTTTCTAATGTTGCTGCTTGTGTTACTACCACATTATTTGGTATTATTATAAATTATGCACTACTAGTATTAAAATTGCAGCTAAAATTCCTTTAGCTATTTCTGCTGCTGCTACGACCACTTCTATGCCACTACTGTTCTGCTGTGGGTATCCACTTACTACTGTAACTGTAAAAGTTACTACTACGTTTGGTATTGATAGGAATAGTTAGTTAGTTTAGTTAGTTTTTTAGTTCATCGACCAATTATCCTTATCGCACATCAGACAATCACTACAAATAATACTCTGCTTATAAAAAAAAATAGCACCAACAGTAATTACTTCTACTAGTGTTAGTGCTACCATCATTACCACTTTTGCTGCTGCTGCTGCTACTACTATTACTTCTACTAATACTACTATTACTGCCAATATTGCTTCAATTACTACTGCTACTGCTGCTGCCACCACTACTACTTCTGCTTCTAATATATTAAAACTGGCTGTACTACGACCACAGTCGCCCCTAATACTACAAAAACCTCTTCGACTACAACTGTTACTGCTTAATATAACATATAACCCGAAAACATAAACGAAACTTAAGAGCGTAAACAAAAACCATATTATAGAAAGTACATTCAGCAAAGGCCAGTTAATTGGCTGGATTGGCTTTTTACCCCACCAGGACATCACACAAGCGATAAACACCCGATGACACAAAGTGCCACCATGCGGATGAGGATCACCGTGGAGAGGTCCCAGAAACCGCGTTCAGACATTTGGCCATAATGATGACCTGCCTATATTGCGGCCCCTGGCAAAAGCCAGAGTGGGGCTTCAAATAACAAAAAATAACGTCTTTAGGACGTGATGAATATAAGAGGCCAGTTAATTAGACTATGGCCATATTTATACTAAGGGAACTAATCCCAACAGGAAGATAAGTTAATAACTTTATGCACTAAGTTTTAAGATCTGGAAGAACGATGTTTGACACAGTATGGACGAGAACAGCTATACATATTCCTATCCAAAGGAGACGATATGTCTGATTGCTACAGCATCATAAGAGATGGGACTCCTGAGATTGCCACATATAAGACTGACAACCAGTGACTTAAACAACCACTTTTCGGATGCAAATCCACAAGCATCAAAACTTACAAAAACAGTTCAACCGTTTTCAGTTACATTGTAGCACCATACAATAACTGAGTTAAAGATTAAAGTCGGAAGGGTCGACTTCATTGCACCGAGCTTTATTCCATATGGCTCTGTCTGTCTCCGCAGAACGACTAGCAGCCTGCCGACTACGGCACACAAAGCATGAACACTGTAGCTCCTTCGATGATCCCCAGGAATCGCCGTAAACACTGCACTCGTGACCTAAACGACACGGCCGGAAAACGAACCCATCACCTTCAGAGCACTTCTGCACTGGGCACCCATAGTTATCAAGTTTCCTGTTGTAGGAGATAAACACCCGTCACTGGCTACAAAGCTACACACAATTTCAGAAGAAGGAAAATATTATTAATACTTTTTTTTTTGTGCAACTTTATTTGTACTTTATCATAATTATGTTTTCAAAGCCTTAGTTTCCAAGGTCTCAGCTGCTATATATCCAAATAAACGGTTAGACTATCCTCCGAAAAACATGCACATATTATGGCGGCCGCAAAAAAATCCTAACAGAGCCTCAGTCACGTGTCAATTGCGCACTTTCGGCAACTTAATTTGCTAACTTCCGGCGAGTACCACCACCGCCGAGTCAATCCACAACGCCGCTAACGCGGCGTGGATTAGGGCTAAATTAGATGGCTGGGACTCACGAGCAGCAGCTTCCGCATCTCCTGCAGCTTTGGGGATACTCTCGGTGGTGGCGGTATTCGCCTAAATTTCGCAAATTAATTCGCCGGAAGTACCTAAGTGACACGTGACTGAGGTCCTGTTTTTGCCCGCCATATTTTGTGCCAGTTATTCGGAGGATAGCCAACGGTTATATTTTCAATGTTAGTTGTTACAGTTTTTTCTCATGGATCTCTAGTGTACTATCTATTGAGACAGATGCGTGTTTATTGCCACTGTTTATTTCCACAGGGATTGGTATTAGTGGTGAAGTGCTGCTGATTCACAACGTGAGCCGGCACTGTGGCGGTGTTTACGAATGTGTCGCCTTTAACGGTGTCCCGCCCGCAGTCAACAAACTCATTCGGGTCAGCGTGGAGTGTGAGTAAAACGCCAACAAAGCTGTTGGTGTAACATTAAGATATATTTAATCAATCATTATTTGTTCTGTTGTGTCAGTATATGTCACTTAGGCTTGGCAGTTTATTTCTCCATTCCCTTCTATCCTGTGCAATTACCTCGATATCATGGATGGAATCAAATCCAACACCTTTGGTCTCTTTCGCTAACGTTTGCTGGTTAAGGTACATTTGACATCTGATAATAGGTCTCATTTTCATTGACTCAAAAGCACGCCCAGGTGTTTGCACCCCTAGGTAGACCAGCCTAAAACTGGCATCAGGTGTAGTCCTGGAAGGTAAAGGTGGCCGGCTTCGTTGACCACATCAACCATCAACACCGAAATGTATACCAAAACACTAATCTAGCATCATGTGTCATCTCCGCAACTGGCTTTAAAAAGCGTTCACAATTTTCCAAAAGTGCACATCTACGTAGTAGTAGTAGTACATTTTACCCTACTACGACATCACACAAGCGATAAACACCCGAAGACACAAAGTGCCACCATGTAGATGAGGATCATCCGTGGAGAGGTCCCGGAAACCGCGTTTAGCCATGAGGCCATATTTATGGCCTAGCTATATTGCGGTCCCTGGCAAGAGCCAGGATGGGGCTCCAAAATAACGAAAAATTGCATCCCACAAGGGAATGACTAGTCTTATAACATCTACGTGTTGTTAATGACTTTACCTATCGAGGGCTATTTGGTCGATACAAATTTTGGTCTGCGTCCACTTACCTTGTAAGCAAAGGGTCACAAATTTGGCATACATGCCTGTCTTATGTTCGGTCCTTATACGAGAATTGGGAGTAAAGATAAGCACCACCAAGCATGAGAAGCACACCGGACGCACACGAAGTCTTGTCAACCAGCAAAGGGACTGGCACTATTAACCGCACGAGGCTAATGAATATGTTGAAGAAAAAAAAAGGTGGGCGGGCGGGGGCGTCTGAGCACTTATTGATGTGTCCTGAGTGCTAGGAAGATATCTAACTGACATCTCATAACTCATATTCAGTTCTTACAAACACTCATCTTCCCCATGTGGGTTTAGGGTCCTCTTAGAGAAAAAAGAATAGACCCAGAGCCTTCTCAACAAGCGTGTCGTACAAGACGACTAATCCGTGGAGTTTCCTTCGAATTTGGAGTTTATCTGTCTGCGAGCGCGAGGAATATCTACATGTTTTAAAATTGTTTAGATGTGACCCCTAGTTCCTCTACCCTGTCTAAAACCCGATTGTGCTTCATGTCTAATGTTGTAAATTCCTCCAATCCTTTTCATGATAATTCGTAAGAGGATTTTGCTAGCATGACTTATTAATGGTTAAACTTGCCTGACAGAACTGTTATCAATCTAGCATAAGTGGCCTGACACCCTTTACGTTTCAGTCCTTTATCCTATTTTCTATCTTCTGTTGAAGTCAAACTACTGCTTGTTGTATTCTGGATGTTTCCGTTTAATGTATCCGCTTCCTTTGATTTCTAACTTCTAATTTTTGCTTCTCTTCTTGTACGGAGTTCATACTTTTTGGATATTGCAATAATAATTGATGTTTGTGTTTGTTTGTGTATTGTTATTATTTTGCTTTAAACAGCAATTATTGTATTTTTTAAACATAAGTTTGCATGAAATCTTGTGTGTGTGTGTGTGTGTGTGTGTGTGTGTGTGTGTGTGTGTAAGGATGAATTACTTATATTTAAATAAAGCATATCTTACGTAACATGTACTGTAGATCCCATTATATAATGCTCCAATTTAAAAAAGAAATTGCAATCCAAAGAGATGAGGAATACTGGAAGACTCCCAGATAGATTAAAACCTTTTAAAAACGTGATTTCAACAGAAGATGAAGAACTACAAGCATTGATAGACACGGTGATGGTAACACGTGATAAAACAGGCCTCCGTTTGAAAAATGGGAAGCCAGAACTAATGAAGATTTCCAAGAAAAGAATAGTGATTAGTGATTATAGATTATAAAGGACTATCATCACAGCACTCTAGACAGATCCATAGGTGCTCCGATCTTCTGCTCAAAAACTCCACAAGTGTAAAACGACTGATGAGGCCTGTTCTGTGTTGGCTAATGAAACTCCTCATAAAGTGGGTGTAGATGGTCTAACTTCACTTTGAGGAAAGCAACAGCCCTGGATAGCTTGATTCTGTTTTCCTTTGTGGGGAAGTCCAAGAGGTATCGCATGGATTTACAGGAGGTCTCTAGTGCATCCAGGAATAATGCGCATTGCCTCTTTTTCAATTTTCTCCAGTCTGTTCATCTGTGTGGTGCTGAGTGTCATGATGGCCAAGGCACATTCAATGGTGGAGAGAACTAATGCACGATACAACATTCAAGTAACCGTTGCTCAAAGTTTGCAGCTCCCATAACTTTTATTGCGGAGAGACCTTTATTGGACTTTGGTTATAATGTGGTCTACGTGGTTTTTTTTAAATGCTTAGCATTTAGCTGTCAAATGTTATAACCAGGTATTTCATGGAATCAGATCTTTCCACATCAGCGCCACAGAGTTTTACTATCGGGATTGGTGTTTTAGAAAGGTGATTATTTAATGAGAACCAGGTGACTGTCGCTTTTGATGGATTAATTGTTGCCCCTGAGGTTTTGCACCAAGATGATATGCGATATAATTCCTGTTGTAGATCCGAAACAATGTCATCTCTGTTACTGCCCTGTCGGTACACGAGGATGTCATCCGCATATGATAGAGTTCTTCCTCTACCACTCAGTTGTTCTCCTGTGATCTTGAATGTGTAAATGTTGAAGAGGATACGAGACAAAAGAATAGTGCCTAAATGTAAAATAAAAGTCAAGGGCGTTTTAGGCAAGTTTGCAGCGTATCCTTTAGAGAAAGTTGCAGAACCAGCCCCAGCATTTTTGGCTGTTGTGGTTTTTCTATGGAAAATATTACGTTCAGTAGCTTGTCATTGCTTTCTGGCTGGTCAGCTCTCGGTACCACTGTCCAAACTAACGCAAAACATACCGTACGCAGCTTGGATTGAACCCGCCAGCCCGTCATTACGAAGCGCGTTCGCAACGCCAAAGCCACATACGCCAACTTTAGGCAAGTACATAAATTTAAGTATCCAGATACATGGATAAAATCCGATGGAAGATGTATCGCAGAAATCAAGAACAGTAAACAATAGGACAGAATGTAACTTTCTTGGTACTTTCATCCACAGTCCCACCTGAGATTAATTTACCAAACAAAAGAATCGGACAGGACTTGGGCAAAGAAACCATACTTGAATGTATCATAACAGCCAATCCACTAGCTGTGGGTTTCTGGAAAAAGAACGGGGAAGAAATGAAAACAGTCGTAAGTATTATGTATTAGATCACGTTAAAAACAATCAAAACATTCGTAATTAACAAGTAATGACAAAAGATAAACCTGATGATAATTTCTTATTATCGTATCGACATCTTAGCACATCGGTCCCACCCATTCGGTCTTAGTCTTTTGATGCAGCAGCCACATCGATTATTTCCAGCCTTAACGTATACAACAGGAGCTGACAGGCATATCTTTTTTTCTTGCGCGGCAAATGTTTTCTGTATGCTTGTCCCATTTCCAACAGGCGGTTGGTCGTCGCTTGCTCCTTTGTCCGAGTGTCTCTGGAAGGCAAAATAGCACTTTTCTCTTGATCTTCTTGAGCATGCTTATTGAGTATGTCACTATCAATGCGTGAGTTGCATTCTACTCCTCCAGCCATGCAAGTGGCTCTATGAAAGCTGCAGATCCATCGTCAGAAATTAGTTGAACTGAAAGCTACTGCATTCTGACAATCAAACTGGATCAATTTAAGAGAAGCAAAGAAATGAGAGAAGTGTGTATTATTCGCATAAAAAATAGCAATTAGCATCATCATTAAGTGCCTTGCCAGCTGGCGTAGACGTTTATGCGTCGCCACAGATCTCGGTCTTTGGTGTTCTGGATCAATTCTACTGATCATATTTCTCCATGCCACTGTATTAGACCATCAACTTTCATTTCTCTTGGTCTGCCTTTGCCTTTTCTACCAGTGATCTTTACAGTTGTCACGATATTTTCCACTGCTCCTTTTCTCATTACATGACCAAAGAACATTGTTTGTCACCTTCTCATCGTTGTATATAATGTTCTACTATCATTAGCCATTTCCAGGCATTCAATGTTGGTTATTGTTGGCAGTCCAAGGTATTTTCAACATTATTCTCAAAAACCACATCTCAGTTGCATCCAAACTCTTCTTAACTATTTGCTAACGTTCAAGATTCACTACTGTACAACAGAACAGGCTCGATATACCAATTTAAAACTCGTTTATGATGTTTAATTAGAGTGATTTATTACAAAAAATACTTTTCATCTTCTGAAAAGCCCCTTTGCCTGGCCAATTTTAGCTCCTAATTTCTATCACACATTGTCCATCTGATGTTATCAAATGTTCCTAAATACTTGAATTTGGATAGGAATTTTTTTTTTTTTTTTTAAATAAAAATGCAAGAGCAATGTGATTTCTCTGTACTGTTATATGATCTAACTTAGAGTGGGAAGTACCGCATAGAGCCATACACAGAGGACGATCACTCCATTACTTTGAGCCTGAGGTTAATGTCTTTAGACAAGAGCGACTATGGGACATATACGTGTGAAGCCTCCAACAAGCTGGGCAGAGACACAAATGTGATGACTTTATTTGGTAAGTCAATGTTCCTATTTCATTTATTCCTGTGTTTGAGATCAGGGTTGATACCCAAATGTGACAACTTTATCTGGTAAGTCGATGTTCCTATTTCATTTATTCCTGTATTTGAGATCAGTGTTGGTACCCAAATGTGACAACTTTATCTGGTAAGTCGATGTTCCTATTTCATTTATTCCTGTATTTGAGATCGGGGTAGAGACCCAAATGTGATGACTTTATTTGGTAAGTCAATGTTCCTATTTCATTTATTCCTGTGTTTGAGATCAGGGTTGGTACCCAAATGTGACAACTTTATCTGGTAAGTCGATGTTCCTATTTCATTTATTGCTGTAATTGAGATCGGGGTAGAGACCCAAATGTAACAGCTTTATTTGGTAAGTCGATGTTTCCAATGAAGACAGCAAATCAGTTGGTTTGTGCACGTAGACAACATGCCATGTGACACCATGCTATACAAATAAGGAGAAAGACATAAAGAAGCAGACCAACAATGATATGGAAATTTAACACCAGAGAAACTACAACACTAAGATGTGTCTATGGTCGAGGCGAAAAACAAGATGCAGAACTTTTTAATTCACTGGACTCTCAAAATGGTCAAAGGAGAAGTGAAGTGGACGATTGTCCTATTTAGTTACTAGCTGTGTTTGGAGACACGGTAAATGTACAGGAAAGGAAACTTTTCCCAACAGTGACGCATGTCGCATAAGGAACTACACTCATCTTTAAAAAAACCTACAGGCGCTCTATGTGTGGAGAGGTCAACATGAGGTCACTGTTACTTCTCATGCCATTTTCTGGTGCTCATTTTATTCTGTGTCATCTTGGGACCGTCGGCTCTGTGGCTAAGTCGATGCGAACGCTTCGTAATGCCGGGGTGCCGGGTTCGATCCCAGCTGCGGCCCATGCGCCTTGCGTTGATTTCGACTGTGGTATCTGGGGACCGACCGTCCAGAAACCAATGGCAAACTACTGGACGTAAATTTGCCTAGAGAAACCACACAACAGCCAGGGACTGTTGGGGTTGGTTCTGAAACGTCCTCTAAAGGATACACAACTAACTAACCATCTTGGGACAAAATCCTAATTATAAAAATCCCTTGTGGTGCGAGTTTGTGTCAAGGACCATCTGGCCGGTAGGCGCACGTGTACGCCATGTGCCATATGGAAAAGACTTGATTTGCTGTTTATGATTTCACTGGACAACTTTAAGTTTAAGTTCAGTTGTGTGCCATTGCCACTAAACTCTCAATTATGGATACCAGTGTCGAAGCAAACGCAAGGCGGTCTGCTCTCAAATTGATTAGACCATCGTGCCTCTCCATAAATTTAAATCCCCGACAACGTGTTCTGACTCCCTTCAATACCACTGGGAAAAAAAATGGGCTCTGACCTTATGCCTATACATATAGGTGATGAGCCTATCTTAAATTTCGCGTGTATGTGGCTGTATAATCGTTCGCGCCCTGTACAGACAATGAATTGTTCTCACCTGTCTATAATATTTTAGACGTCCTGTATCTAGGTTGGTTGTTTTCGGACTGGTGTAATCATCCGTTTGTTGATGCGATATATGAAAAAAAAAATTACACTACATTTGTTTCAGAATATTCAGTGTACCGCCATCCACAAGCTGAGACAACAATTGCAACAACAACAACGTCAACAACCACCAGCGTCTCCAGTATAAAGGAGTCCACGTCCGTGTTCCTACCTCTACTCTCTCACCACCAGCAGCAACTTTACCAAGGCTTCCACCCGACTCCAGGTCACGGGTATGTTGAGGAGGAGCACCTGATGCGTGACCCCAGAAGACCAAACACCATGTCCGTGGTCAATGACCAGATTCACCCCAGAGGTATACTTACATTTTAAAAATTTATATAGTCTCTGTTTATGGTATGAGGCACGGGAAGTAAAGGCGGCCGGCGTGATGCTGATCACATAACCCATCTTGTGCCAATTGGTGAATAAAATATAGGTATAGTCTTATATGCCCTATAAACCTAAAGGCGTGGAAAAGGGTCCTTTCCTTTCTTATATAGTATAAGGCAAACTGGTTTATTTTCTCTTTTCATATCTTGCGTTTTCACCTATCCGAGCTGCTGCTTTAAGGTTTAACTTCCTCATATTTGACAATATCAGTCTGGATGGCAAGACAACTGGGCAACTACCCCGTTCAGCCTCATAAAAAGTTATAACTAGAGTAAGTGTAAGGACCATGCCAGATTAACGTTACCGGCTGTCCTGTGTGGGTAAGGTATCAACCTGTTTATATACAGTTTCGTATCTTAACCCCTTGTCACCACTGGTACAAACTGCATATGATGTTAGCCCCAACTGTGTATAGACTAGCCGAACCTCCATGAGTTGTGAGTTAGGAGTTAGGAACCGACATCATAGAATTCGTGGCATTCCTATCCGTGCATCCCACACCCCATCAATTTTCAGCAGCGAATACAGAGTTCCAGTTCCGATGGTACCTGTAAAGTCTGATTATATGACCTCCTGGCTTCTCCCTTGAGTGCTGAGCGTCGGTATGATGCCTGGCTTCCTCGCCGCTACACCATTCTGTTCTCAAGTAATCATTTATCGGTGCCTCTACACTGTCTACACGCTCCCCACGGGAGCTTACAAACATCTAGTTTGTTATCCCTAACTCATCATCAAGCGGAGCAGAACCAGCAAATCTATCTGCCCGTTCATTTCCAAAAATACCGATATAACCTTGAAAACCTCGATGGGTAATGTCAACAGCGCGCAAGCTTGCTTTATGCCTATAGCCAATTCATACCCGATATTTTAGATTTTAGACCTAAAAACACACAACAATTATAAACATCTGTCCTGATAAGGATTCAACCCCAAGATCTTCGAGCCAGAAGAGTAGAGTCTAACATGTGCGCTATCAGGACTTCTGTATTTTAATTTTAAATCTAAAATTCTGAGGATACTTTGGCCTATCAGATGTTGTAATAAAAGAAGACAACAAACACAATGGTTCGTCCACTTGAAAAGAAAACAATGTAATGTCATAGCACACAAGGTGCATACCAAAAGAACAGAGAGACACAAAGCCCGATAAAGATAGAAAACACGAGGGAAATAAAAAATAAGGTAAAGATTTGTTCACGTCTTCAGGCGCAATGGGCATATGGGAAGAGCACCCATATTTTTACAGACCAATCGGAACTAGGTGGGTAATGTGGTTATCATAAACACCGGCCGTGTTTACTTCCCCAGGACATACATCCTGGTACCCAGTTTAGGCTGGGTCGACCTGCGACGCCCTATACCACGATAGAAATCCACGCAGCCAGCAGTGGGTTTCGAATTACGAGTCGGGTTAGCAGCGCCTAAGCCACGGACGCCGCGGATGGAAATATAGCTTCGGCGAAACTGTCAAATAGTACAAAGTGTCTATGGTCGATACAACCACAAGAGCAAGAACCAGAGTATGTACCTGAAGCATTAAAACAAAAAAGTGAATAAATATTACCAAACACTTTTAGGATAAGAATTACAAACAATCAAGCTGATAAAATTAACTAATTTGTAAATAGTTTTTCAAATGTTCACAATTACATTGCAGTTGCTGCGTCATCGGAATCCAGCTGTGCATCACATATTTCAATGAATGTCTACGGCTGTAGTGTAATTCTACTATACGCCAGTTTGACGAGAGCACACATATCAACAGATCCCATTGCCAGACTTGCAATGTTATGACCTTTGAAATAGTCTTGACATTTGTAAACCTGCTTGTATTGCACATATTTACGAAAGTAAATCCAGATGACCGAGACGAGTATTATTGTCTTTGTAAAAGTACACTTTGCTATCCGAAAAAGTCTCTAACATCCATGTTTCGCTTTGTATTGAAGTCAATTTAATTGAATTTGTATGAACTGCATTACCCTTTGCACTATGAAACTGAATGCTGTCCGTCGAGGACTTGTGTATGCCTAGAATCGAATGAACTGTCATGTTTGAAAGATTCCAAACTGAGCATTATTATTGACAACCGGGGAATGTACTGCCAATTGTTCTATATTAAATAGATTATGTGTAATACTGTGTTGAGAGAAAGGTGGAATAAAGTTATCTAAGCTAACGATATGTTTATAAAATGTGTTTTCATTGCGTTACAGTGTAAACAGAAATATAGTTCAAAGACCTCTATGTGTATAATACTGAGAGAAACATGGTTTAAAATCATCGGGTTAACTTAGATGTAACCGATTTATGTTCTCTGCGATACAATGTATAGATTAGTGTAGTGTGCAAAACTGGGATTACTGTGTAAGTTTGTAAATATCATTTCATATTTAGTAAGTATTGGAGAGAAATATGACTTTTATTTTTCAAAATCGTGTAGGAGTTGCATTCATTGTGATACTTAAGGTAGACTTAAATATACACATACATGTGTAAACATATATGCGCACATGAATTCATGTATGTGTAAGTGTGTATCTCACCTTTATTATATTAGTATGTACTGGTATTATATTTATGACTGGTGGAATACACTTTCCAAATGTGTTTTTAACTTGATAATCTCATTCCTCTAATGTGATTTTTTTCTGTGTTTATTTTATTGTTCTTTTGATTATTTGTTCATTTTAATTGTCTTTCATTATTCAATTTTTCAAGGAAATAATAACTATACGAATTTGTTTGTGAAATATAAAAATAAAATCAGTATTGTATAGTTCTTAACTGTGTAGACATATTATCATTACCAACACTGTCGTGATAGTTTTTCCCGTCGTTACTGTCATTGTCTTGTTCCTGAAAAGTTCATCACAGCTACCCTTTGAAATGTACATATATTTTATATGCGCTAATGAACCAACCTTGGAAAGGACACACTTTGAGAAAACCTAAGTATAATATGACTAGAATGTCTTTGTATTGAAACCCACAAGAACATAGGAATAAAGGAAGGCCAAAACCCACACAGAGAAGGGAGCTGGAGAATGAAGTTAAAAAGATGGAGAGGACATGGGGAAAGCTGCCTGCGATAGCGAAAGATAGAACGACTTGGCGTGAGTTGGTTAAGGACCTATGCTCCATTGGGAGCTAGAAAGGCAGAAAAAGAAGAAGAAGAAAAAGAAGAAGAAAAAAAAAAAAGAAGAATGTACACACCAGGCGATAAATATTTGATATGTTTGGAGACTTTGAAACAAAATCATTTATGTTCAGCGGTTCAGTTATTCTACAATTCCTACAGTGTCTACTTCAATGAATCAGTGTATAAAAAGTAGGGCTGTACCGAATAGTGATTTTCACTATTGGTCGAATACGAATAATGGGACCAACTATTCGGCCGAATACGAATACGAATAGTGTATATTGTATAAAATATATCTTTAAAAAAAAAACATGCACAATGTCAAATGTACGATGCAATTTTACTTCACATAAAGTAGCACAGAATAGTCATCTTCTTCTTTAGCATTCTGAGCCCTTAAGGTTTACTGCTGCAGATATCACTCGTCTCTATTCATCTCTCTGGCTGGCCTCCTCTTCACAATTTGTGACACCAGTTGTTTGCAGGTCTGGCTGGACATTATCTCTCGAACTTATTTTTTGTCCTGCCTCGTGGTCTACGCCCATTCCTCTATCAGGTGTATACAGTTTTACTTCTCTGTCTTCTGACATTCTTTCAATATGCCCCAACCATTTTAGTCTGTTAGCTCTCATGATGCCAGTGATCACTGGCGATTTAAAAAGATTAGGTGTAACTTTGTTGCTTCTCACTCTCCATTCCCCGCTGTTAGCATCTTTGATGGGTCCAAAGATTTGTCGTAAGATTGTTTTCGAAAACCTGTAATAAGGCCTCATCTTTTTTATTTTTGCTACAAGTTTCAGAGCCATATAAAACTACTGGTCTTATCAATGTTTTATATATTTTAATTTTGGTGGTGCGAGACAGACACTTTGACATTAGCAGATGTTGAAGGGCATAGTATACTTTTTTTTCTAAATTGTATTTCTCCTTTCAGCATGTTGAAGCAGATGGAGTTTGCACCCTAGTACTTATATGTTTCCGTTCGTTTGATTTTCATATTATGACTTGGATGTGGGCGAAGTTTGTATTTTTTCCATGTCTAGTTAGTATTCGTACAGAATAGTAAACATTTAAACATTTTATATTTTGCATCCTTTAGTCATTCTGTGGTAACTAATAACTAGGAATGAAAAAATCCTAAGTATTATAAGAAGTAACTAAGCTTGGATATTGTCATTGACAGCTTAGTTAATGCATGAAAGCTGCATTAGCTTTCAACAAAACCAATCGTTCCATGTTGTCAGTATTAAGGCCGTGTATGCAGAGAAGCATGTGTAAGGTAACTACTATTCGTATTCGGCCCGACCGCAACTATTCGACCGAATACAGAATAGTCAAAAGGTAGACTTTCGGCCCCGAAGCGAATACGAAGCGAATATTCAGTACAGCCCTAATAGAAGCCAAATCATAGTGGGCTTTGGTTTTTCAGTTAATTGACGAGTTGTTTGACTGATTGATTATTTGGTTGATTATTTGAATATTTCCCCTCACTTTTCAGACGCTTTACGGTTTATACTATAATGCTACTGGGCATAACAAACAAATTATGGTGAATCATTTAGTTAGTTGACTGGTTCGCTTGTTGCATGATTAGCTGATTAGCTAATCCTCAATCCTTTTTAATACCGTTTTAACTACTGAAGATATAAGCAGACCCCCTTTCGGTCGTATAGGTCTAGTAACAGCTTCAATCTATGAGCAAAAGTAGCTGTAAAAGTTTCTCCTCTCTTCTATTTTAATGGATTTGTTGCATTGTATTTTTCAAATGTTTTTTCAACTCCAGGATTGCAGTCTGTAAGATAAACACCTCATGGATGAGAATCAGACAAGTGCAAGTCCTGGAAACTACGTTTAACCAGACAGCCATATAGCAGAGTTGAACTGGGCCATCAGAAAACGGTTACTACGTAAACTGTAGCTTAGTTTTATTGAATGGATGAATGAGATTTAACCACACTAGGACATCCATCAAGCGATAAACACCGGCTGGCCCAAAGTGCCACCCTTCTGAAGAGGATGACCTGGGAAAAGGTCCTAGAAACCATGTTCAATCCTTAGGTTATATTAGTGCTCCCGACTACAGCCTGGGGGAGGGGGTGGGGGCAGGGGGTTGCTTTAAAAGAATAAAAAAAATGCGTCCCGTATCGGGACGACATCAGTACAATCTAGTTTCATTGGGTGTGAATTAGTTTTTCTGGTTTGATTAATCAATTGTTTGCACACGAGTCGTATGGCTGATGGTTGTCTCTGATTTGTGAATCTTAAGAGCGTTTTTTGAAAAAAACTACTTAGGCTGAACCACTTCTCTCAGGTCGTCGAAATTCCGAGAAGGGATTGCTTCTGTCCGAGTAAAGTGTGAGTAGAGCATGGATCTCAATTAGAGACCAAAGTCATATCTCCTGGGGACCATGTTGCACAAGTCTCTGTCTCCTCCCAAAGGCCTGAAACCGGACAATGTTTAGTGTTTGCAGCACGTTCATTCAAAGAGAGATTTCTTCGGACTGAAATTAGTCATTTTAGCAAGGATAGTTTTCAAATCAAAGCTAATTTACTGTTTAAATATATAGGGCGTTTGTAAAGTCTCACTAAACTTTCTATACATAACACATTTGACAAATTAAGTGCATGACGCCGTAAAGAAAAACATCCTTAAAGAGTCATTAAATTAGTTATAATAGTCACTGCTAGGGCCTAACGCTGTTTCATGAAGCTGGTGAGTACCAGTGAAATATTGATTATAACAGGTTCGATAGATAACTGCAAACGTCTCTTCATATTATTTAACACCTTCTGCAACGTGACTTTTTTTTTTCTTGAATGGTAATTCTCATTGCTAATAATCGAATGGAGTTAGATCTAGAGAACGGGTAGGCCAAATTCCATGTGGTATTATGCGATTTGAGAACATTTCGAAACACTTCTCCAGTCAAGCAAAATTATTTTTCCGTTGATAATACTATTTTGAATTTAGTGCAAAGAATTACTCCAGCAGATGAGGGCAATTCTTTACATATTGCTTACAGTTAACAGTGGACCACTTTTGTTGATGAGTTATGTACTTCGTTTTTCATATTTATTCTACATACAAAGTTTGGTGAGACTTTACAAACTCCCTGTAGAAATCACGCAAAAATGTTAAGCTTTGTTTTACAATTCAGTGTTGCATATCCAGCTTCACTCAACACAGCAATCATGATGTATATTCTGCATACACTCGGTTAAAGTGTATCTGTAATGATACCGTTAAAGTTTCTAGTTCACTGCAACGTGTTTTATCCTTTATGGCTCGATCTCTTTTAGCAGAGACCGCCTGCCGAGCGCGTCATACGAAAACAAGACCTCCGTAGCTCCGGCGAAGATCTTCAAGGATATCCATACAAATTGCACTCATGTTCCAAACGACGCAGTCGTGAAACGAACCTACGACCTTCAGAATGCAAGGCAGACGTCATGACCATTTCGGCACGGAGACCTTCTTTAGTTAAATAAGGTCACCGCATTTGGGGTTCGCCCACAAGCGATCCGTTTCAGGTTCACCTGTGATGGACAACAACATGAAAATAAATGTCCTCACTGAACTATATATATTATGTTTGGTCATTGTCCATGGTTTTTGTAAAATAAACAATACAATCCATGCATGTTTTTGACAAGTCTTGCATATTTTCTGTGAATAGTCTCCTAAATAAATGTAGACAACAAGAAAAGGTGGAATATAAGCATTATTTGTCATTATTACAACTGAGAAATGCAAAAGTTGTCAAAGAAGTTGTGTGTGGAACGTTGAGTGAGCTACTGACATTTAACACACCGGGACCGCACAACAAGCTATAAACACACAGTGGACCAAATTGCCACTTTTCGGATGAGAATTACCCTAGCACAAGTCCCACAAACTACTTCAACCGTTAGGTTATAATAATGAAGGCCCCCGGTGACAGATTTAAAGTAACGAATAAATATTGCGCTCCAAATTGGGGCTAAGTTTTACAGGATGTTCAAACAATTGAAAATAATAATACAGAGGGGGAAAACACAGATGTCTGTAGAGAACATTAACAGTTGACAATGATAATACAAATGGAGAAAGAGACATGTGTGTGAAGACAATTTCACAATGGACAATTATAATACACAGTGAAAACGAGAAAGAACTGGCAATATTTCCGTTAAAAAAAGTTAGTTGTGTATCCTTAACAGGAAGTTGCAGAACCAACTAGGGCATTCTTTGTCTGTTGTGGTTTTTCCAGGCTAATTTTACGTTCAGTAGTTGCCGTTGCCTCTGAACGGTCAGCTGTCAGTACCACTGTCGAAACCGACGCAAAACACATAGTCTGCACCTGGGATCGAAAGCGGAACCCCTTCATTACAAAGCCCGTTTGCAGCACCTAAGCCACAGACGCCGACATTATCCTAAAAAAAACATAAATTAGCCCATTCATAAGCACGGGGGCCTGAGTGTCCGTCGGTAATGAGGTAAAACTCACACCTAGGCTGTTTTTCATGGGGTGAACTGTAGTTCATAGAAAAGGGTAGGACACGGCCACATTTTTATGTAGGACACATTTTTATATATAAAAATCTGGAGCTGGCCGTGGGTAGGACCACATGTGTGTGATGCCTATGCTCCAATTGGGGATTTAAATTAGTTGCGTACCCTTTACAGGACGTTGCAGAACCAATCCCAGCACTTTCTGGCTGTTGTGGTTTTTCTAGGCTAATTTACGTCCAGTAGTTTGCCATTGCTTCCTAGACGGTGGGTTCCCAATTAGGGATACAGGGCAGAAAAATACGCAGGCTTTTTAAAAACGACCTGAACTTCTATCACGTGGTGAGATTGCTATCTTCTCGTTTTGCAAGCAAGGTTATCACACTCAGGGGGAGTTACAAGCCTTTTTGGGGCCGCGTAGCTCAGTCGATAGGAGGCTCGCTTTTAAATCCAATTACGACTCGCTTCAGTCCACGGCCGGTGTTGGAAACCGGGTGGTTCCCTGGTTCACACAACCTCTAGGTAATGGGTATCAGAGTTAACACTCTGGGGTAAATGGAGGAACGTCGCTGTAGCTACGGAGTTGTGTGCGGACGGCGACACAGGCGGACAATTTTTTTTTTTAATTAGCGGCCTGCACTGGTGGCAGATCACTTATGGTTTATAACAGTGTGCAAGGACGCTGGTTCACATGTCCCGACTTTACCTTACAATTACCTTGTGTAGCCCGTTAGATCCCTCTTCCACACCTTCAGACGTATTGGGCATCTAGGGCTAGACCAGTTTATTATAGACCAATAGGCACTGTGTAGATGGTCTGGACAATATTACGCTGAACCGCCTTTACTTTCCAGGACTTTACTTGGTACCCATTTAAGGCTGGGTCCACCTGGGAGCCAAGGTCATTACAAAATAATGTCAGACTTTGTCAGGACTTGAACCCAAGACCCTCCGAGCGGCTTGTCGTTACAACATAGCGACTTCCAGCCCGATAGGAGGGAACTCATCTGTCAAATAAACACCATCACCCCTGGCATAAGGTGGATAGTGGAAAAGCAGTGTCCAAAAGGCTCATTCGATGCCCTATTCTTGCCCTGACAGTCTCATCACTTCACAAGTGCTCCCATCTATACTGGTCCTAGAAACTACATAGAGGTAATGGATATGTATTTCAAAGAAATCTAAAAGAAAGTAACAATAACTAAACTTCAAATAGTTAAGAGACACATATCATCATGTAGCAGGTCCTTTGCAGAACGTCGCTCTCATCACGATCTGCCGGAAAGAAATTAGGTCTCTCGCCTATTGTACTTTCATATTCAAGGAGTCATTTATATTTTGTGTCCATCTTCGAATTGGCCGGCTTCTGTCCCATGACTTCTGCTATTATTATTCAAATCCACATTGGCGTTTTATATGACCACAACATTTCATCTTCCGAGAAAAGATGCTGTTTATTAGTCTATCATCCTTGATGTTCAGATCTTGTAAAAAGCCGGTATTTATTCTTTTCTGTGGCCATGGTATTCTGTGAATTTTTCTATAGCTCACAAGCTCCTATTTTTTATTCTTAAGGGTTGGGAGAAAGTCCACGATTTAGATCCATATTGCAACAGGGAAGATGATTTTTCTCAAAATTGTAATTGTGATTTCCTTGCTGGTGCTTAACCGTAGACTTTTGATGCTGTTTAATCTTTGCATTTCTATGGCCATCCTCCTTTCGATTTCTGTCGCACAGTCTCCATTGCTATTTGTTATAGAGCTTAGATACTCAGAGTTTCTGAAACTTTCAATTTCTTCATCATTGTTATTTTTGAGGTGACAGCCAGTTTTGTCTGTGGACATTATTTTAGTTTTCTTTAAATTCAAGAATAGGTTTTGATCTTCACTCTGTTTTTGAACAGAGATAATTACATTTTCAAATTCTTTTACATTCTTCAAAAGTTCTAGAATAAGATTGCCAACAATTATTACCGGTTCATAACTGTCACACGTTTGGTCATTTTTTAAATATTTTTTTTTAAATATTTTTCATTATTACACACATATATTAAATAGGTAGGGTGAGAGAATTCACCCCTGCCTCACTCTCCTTTATACTATGTTCGCTGTGTCACCAGCTGCTCTGATGACGGCTTGTTGTTCATTAAATAAATTTTCTATTTAACGCACCAAATGCGATGGAAACCCTGTACTTGCGATAAAACCCCCACAGTTTCTTATGTTGGACACAGTGAAATGCCTTGCTATAATCAGTGAAACAAATATGAAGATCTACTTTGTAATCTTTACATTTTTCCGATTATTATCCTCAAACTAAATCTGTGATCCCTAGTTTACCCTGTCTAAAACTCGCTTGCGCTTTATGTTGCTCATATTGTATTTTCATTTCAATCTTCTTCATGATAATTCCTGAGAGGATTTTGCTGGCATGGCTTATTAATGCGATGGTACGGTAGCTGGTGCATAGTTTCAGATCTTCATTTTTGTTTTCTGAGACCCACTTCTGAAAATATATGACAATTTTAACACCACACCGACCATAGGCTATAGAGATCAACAAACACTGAGATCAACAGCAACAGAGTTTTAACAGCAGAAGAATAAATGCTGACAAAATTAAAGTGTATAAAGCGTGGGTAGGTCATCAAACAGAAAGGTCTGGATTCATCATGGTAATCTTCTCTGGCTTCCATTAAAACGATTTTGAGGTTTAAATAGCTGTAGATCTTGTTAAAGAATCCGACGGACACATGTCATCTACCAGTTGCAGGAGAATATGGATCTTAATAATAAGCACAGCGCTTCCTGTAGGCTAAAGCCAGAAGTGCCCAGCTTTTCTCTAACTGTTGGATGGCATTTAGGATTGAGGTTTGAACAGCGGATCAACATCATGGCACACGGGTAGTAACCCATAAATGCTCCGTTCTTCTTCTAACTAAAGTCTGAGTCCGAAGAAGCTCAGCACAGTGCACAGGTTCTGTAGCACCGGGAGAATCCTGAAATACTGTGGGTTGATTTTTAACTCCAAATTTTGCCTAGGCAGCGCTTTAGGCCTCTTTTTTCGATTTCCCGCTGCCAATGGATGTTTTACGTGTGCAACAATGCACACGGGCGTCCGATCTCACTACCCAGATACCGGGGGAATTACTAGAAGTCCAAGTCAAAGTGAAATAATCCCAGCCTTTACCAGGAATTGAACCCGGAACCTCTAGCACTCTAGGCGGACACCATGCTTTCAGATCACGCAGCCCCCTGGATGGCATTTAATGTGAACGGATCCTCAAACTTCGTGATCGGGACCACTCAGCATGGTAGGGCTGAGCGGCAGAATCTAAGGATTATGGTCATATGTCATTCATACCAGCAGGTTCAGTGGACCCAGGTGTCTTGATGCACTATCTAGGAGCAGAATCCATATATTATCAGGGCTTTTATGACTTTGTTAAGCTATAAATAATCGTGGTTGTATGTATTCTTAGTAAACGCCGAAGGGTCTAATGAATGGGGCAAATGCGAGGTCAGTTGCTTCTCAGGTGTAATTTGAGGCCAGCGGCGGTTCAATTGAGGACGGGAGTCAACTGATGCTGGGGGTGGAGAGAAGGGGGAGGGGGTTGTTGTAGCTACGTATCTGTGAGTAGGAGGGGGGAGGGACAGAGGATCCGAGGGTTTGAGGGGCGGTGGTGAGCAGGAGCGGACTGGAGGGGGCGCCACAGGATTTATGGTCATACAATTAGTTTTTAAAAAGCTATAAACCGTTGTGCATTGATTGAAACTGAAAGTATGATATTTTTATATAGTGAAAAAATCCGAGGGGATTATTTTCATCCATTATCAATCTGACCGTAGCCTTTACAACGACTCGTGGGCTCATAGCCAAAATCCGGATAAGAAAGGTAAATATCAGAGAGTAAAATTTTTGGAGATGGTGCAGCAATTATCATTACTCAACTGCTGTGAATTTGGACTATCAATCAGCACAAGGAGACAAAGGTTATGGTCTAAGGTGTTAATTATAGACATACAGTCTATGTGACCGGGCACATCAGGAAGGGAATGAGAATCCAAAGAGGAAAATATTCCAGAAATGAAAAGAGCTGAGTGTCTGAGAAGAAACAGATTAAATACAAATGTTGACAACAATTTTCCTGAAATCCCATT